ATTCGCAGCGGGTAGTGTACAGCATCGATTTCTGTGGAACCCAGTAGCTGTCAAAACTTTCACATTTTTACGAATAACTCGGAAATCGTAAATTTCTCAGGTAAAACGTTTGACACAAACTTAACTTAAATTTTGACGACAAATCTGAAAATTAATGAAAAATGGGGCGGTTCCATTTGAAAAACCAAAGTTGGTAACTACCACACGTTTATGATACACCCCGTATATTGGAAAGTAATTTTAAAATGTGGACCTTTTAAACATGRAAAACTTTCGTARGACGTATTTTCTTGTAAAGTTCATATTTACTGAGATATCGCACTTTGACGCACTAATGAGCAACCCTGTATAAATAAGAATGTTATTATATTCTTATATATTAAATATAAGAGTTCCATCACCGTAGCAGTTTGGCCAATAATCGCTAGTCAAACTTTATATTTATATTTTGATTTATTTTCCTGACTACATGTAATTGTTATTATATTGTTATCCTTTCTGGGTCTAAGTCAAAGTGTGAAGTAAAAATTTGAATATCGTTTATTTCATTATTTTCTACTACAAACTCGCCGAAACGTAATAAAATAAACAATATAAAAAGTTTCACTTCACACTTGACTGAGACCCAGAAAGGATAAGAATAGAATAACAATTACATGTAGTCAGGAAAATAAATCAAAATATAAATATAAAGTTTTACTAGCGATTATTGGCCAAACTGCTACGGTGATGGAACTCTTATTCACAGTTAAAAAGAGTTACATTTTCGTCAGAGCTTTTCAATACATTGCCAAGAAGCCCCGTAAAAACATAAGAAATTGTGTTCGGTCGGTGTTATAATCGGTTGTTCGCAAAATTCAGAAAATATCTGTTGAAATAATTATTTCCAATCTCGAAAGCATGCGCATATCATAATATGTTCTGAAAATAATGTATCTGCTCAGTGAGTGAGAAACAATGAGATTAACATGGCTCTTTGCAACAGGGGACTAAACAACAATTCAAATCGTACGATTTAAATTACCCGGTCGTATTTGGCCCCCAACGATTTCGCAATCCAAACCCAGAGCCGATGACTTTATAATGAGAGATTCGCCAAACTGCTCGCCTCAGCTACTCCGTATTTAATGTCCAATGAATATTCTTTTGTTCTGAAACCCTCCATTAGTCAAAATCAATTGAGCGATAGCAAAATACGTAGGCAGGAACTGAACAAT